TTTCATTGATGTCATCTTCATAAAAATATAACCAGAAAAAAATGGCAAGTGGACAGAGTTCAGATACAACATGTCAAAATGATGCGGACATCCAATATATGGTAAGTTGACTTACATTTTTCATGTTATCTAGATTTTTGTAATATGAATTACCAACAGTGCAATAAAAATGAAAAGATCTCATAAGTCTACCAGATTTTAAAAGCGATGAGATAATCATTGGCCTTGGAGACAAAAGGCAATATTTTGCATTGATGGATAAAAAGGACTGGACGCCTGCATCTCATCTTAATTCAGTTACATTAGGTTGCCTTGTGGATGAATTTTAAAGGACCACTATAGTCACCCAGACCACATTAGCTCAATGTAGTGGTCTGGGTGCCAGGTCCCTCTAGTGTAAACCCTGCAGCTGAAAACATAGCTGTTTCAGAGAAAAAACTGCTCATGGTCCTACTCCCGCTACCGCTGGGCGTTTTAAGCCCTTCAGCCCAGCAGGAGTGGGACCCTGAGGGTGAGGGGGACCTAATGACCCTATATTGACAGGAAAAAGAGTTTGTTTTCCTGTCACTATTGGGGTCCTTTAATTTTCATAATTTATTCAATACATAATAGGATTCGTACAAATGTTATTGTGTTTCTGAATATCTAATATATATATTAAAAAAATTATAAATATATTTATAGATAGCCGAATATTTTGAGGACCGTCATCGACATGCAGTTGATCCGGATATTGTAAATAGTATGGCCTGGGATCCACCTGCACAGCAAGTGATTAACGATGAAAATACGCCAAGTTCACCAAGAAGAGTTGGAATATCGGAATGGTGTATGTGTGGCAATTGTATGCCAATGCCAAGTGAGGAAGAATGTGTATGCTGCCGGGAGATAGAGAACATTGTAGATAAGCTGAATGACCAACACAATTGCATTTGCAATCTTACATATGTTCTTCCCGGGAACACGTGCTGTCTCTATACCGTTATGGTCTCCGCTATGTAAAATCCGCTAGATTCCGTTCTCCTGAACAAATGCAGGAAAGGTAAGTCTATCATAAATCTAAATAGAGAGCATTGTTCTTTAAAATTGTTAGTTATTAAAAATAAAAATTAATCTCTAAAGGAGCACCTTAGTGCCATGAAAACAAACTTGTTTTCATGGCACTATAGGGTCATTAGGCACCCCCCCCCCCACCCTCAGGCTGGGCTGAAGGGGTTAATGCTTTCCTATGGGCTTTTTGAATGCGCGCCGCTCTAGACAGGCATGCGCATTCTGAGCGGACGTTGGCAGGAGGAGGAGAGGTCACCAGCACCGAGGGAGCCCGGCGCTGGAGAAAGGCTAGTGTCTGAAGGGGTTTTAACCCCTTCAGCCCAGCGGGAGGGGGGCCCTGAGGGTGGGGGGGGGCTAATGACCCTATTGTGCCAGGAAAACAAGTTTGTTTTCCTGGCACTATAGTGCTACTTTAATTTTAGTATTCTAATACTGCAATAGGTTATGTTTTGTTTTACTTAATTTATAAAGTTTTCATGCTAAATTCTATCTTCATTATTTATCATTTTCTATTCTATCGTCCATTGACAATCATGTTTTGTTCTGTTTTACATATGCAATATAAAATGTATCCTTTATTTTTTTTATCATAGTGACTACAGAAAAACCGCCTACAGGTCCTTCGCAATGTGGGTGTATGGATACTAGGGACATAAAAGGCAGCGTTCAATCCCCTCATGCACAGTAAAATGGATTAGGTCACACTTTCCTGCACCTGATGAGATATATATGGGTTTTAGATATGCGGATGATGACCCTATAGCTGTGGAACTTGTATAGTAGACAGTACGTGGCCTTTGCATTGGTTTACTTTTGCTAAATTTGTTAACTATTCCACATTATTTGTTCTTTGTATATAATGTTTAAAAAAGTGAATGTGTTAATTTATTTTGTATGTAAAATCTAAACTGTAAAAAAAAGTTATTTTTGTTACATTAATAAATTAAAACATTTTAAAAACTTTTTATTACATTTTTCATTATTTTAATGCTTCATTTATCTAATAATTTTATTTTACAACCAAAATAACACACACACACACACACCCATATATATATATATATATATATATATATATATATATATGTAGTCCATACTAAAAGTACTCATACTGAAGTGTGATGGGTACAATTATTTGTCCTTTAAACCTGCTATTACTAATTACAATATAGTGTCTACATGTACATGATTAAAGAATAAAGAACAAAAATGCGAACTAATAAACATTTATTAACAACAAACATGTTTTTTTTTAAAACAATAATTGAATGTAATAAATAACAATAATTTTGATAAATACAATTTTGATCACAAGTAAACTTTTTTTTAAACAATCAAGTACATCACAAAATTAACTTCTTTGTAACATGACTTTGTTTTAAAATGTAAATATTATAAATATTTTTTATAAATAACACTTTATTATAAAATATCAACTTTTAACTTGTATGAATAAAACAATACAAATTTTTAAAAATTAATAAAATGGTACACTCCAGTCACCATAACAACTTAATTGAAATTAAAATAAAACAAAAACAAATATTAAGTAAGTGCAACCATCCTGTTCTTTGGTTAATAAATTATACAAAATAATAATTAAAACAATAATAATATTCATAGAAATTAAGATTTCCTGTTGTGCTACAAATTACAAATTACTTTCATTACAAACAAGTAGTTATCACTAAGAACATTAACAGATTTTTTAATTATTCTTATCACCTGTCAAAAAATGTCAAACATTAAAATTATACATTTCTTCAAATTTTGAAGTCTTCTTGGACGTAAACGTGAAAGGTGCTCATCAACCATTTCCTTTGTTGATGGGCGAGGTGTTGATGCAATGTTTCTTGAAAATTGCCCTGTTTGAGACTCCCAATTAACTTGGAAGTCACCTGAGGCTATTCTTAGTACATCAGCCATCATTGGGTATATTATTATTATTACTATTATTGCCATTTATATAGCGCCAACAGATTCCGTAGCGCTTTACAATATTATGAGAAGGGGATGTAACTATAAATAGGACAATTACAAGAAAACTTACAGGAACGATAGGTTGAAGAGGACTCTGCTCAAACGATCTTACAGACTATAGGAGGTGGGGTATTAGAAACGTTAGGACAGGAAATATCAAATAGGGTGGGAGTGAAGCAGAGCTGGAGGAGAGAGTAAAGCACTGTCCTATAGGAGAGAGCAAGAGACAGGTATGTAAGGTAGAGATTACTCTGGGAGGGTATATGTGGACAGTCGTTGTTTTTTTCATATATTTTCTTTATTTTCCATTTTTTACTCCGTTTTGAAAAAAAGTGTTTGAAGCGCAAGTCCCCAATGTGTCCACTGCCTTCATGTTCTTTGTGGATAGTAGCCTGTTCTCTGCCTACATTGGCGTTGTGGGCCAACACAGCCAATTGGGTCCTGGCTACCATCCCATCCAATTAACTCTTTTGGGACGGTATTTTAATACAAGGCTATGAAAGACTTCCAGTGAGCCTGTGTGACAAAAATTAACAAGATGCAGAAAGTCTTTCTCTAATTTTGAATCAGTGACAAAGCTCCTAAGTCTTGGGTATGCCACTCCTTTTTTGTATAACCATGATTCCTGTTCTTGAGTTTCCACATATTCTCCATGTTGGCATTTTTTGAAAAGTGTCGCAGACTCCCATTCATGTACATGTATTATGTGGTACAGTACCAACATCCATTTTTCCTTTAACAAAATAGGATTTCCTTTGCTTTACGAACAAGCTGCCCACATGTGGTTTATTATAGAATTTTGCCACAGAGCCAATTCTTTGTACATCGACTGTCGACATATGGTTGAAAATTTTAAATGAATGCTCCTACAATAGTGCCATATATCAAATTGATGATTAATGTGTTTGTATCTCGCTCTCATAATTTTCCTTATGCTGACATGCCTATCGAAATTATAATTTTATCAGCTAATACTTGGTCCATGCAACGTTTTAATACCAGGGATTCCATTGCAACGGATGATTTTGCCTCACTCACTTGAATTGTGTTACATTCAATTATCCAGGGCTATCACATTGCCCATCTCCTGAAAGACATACCACTTTCCCAAGTAAACTATCTATCAATAATCTTCTTTCTTTCTTGTATTGATGATCAATGATTGGAAATAAAAAAAAAATTTTGATATGGATAATGTAGGGATTGAGAAATAACTGCCACTCCAAAAATTGAAAATAGTTCAGAAACTTTAGCAAAGTGTGAACCACTGAACAAAATTGAGGCACTTGCCAATAAATTCCTACAAGAACGGTTTCCAATCATAGGCTGGCTGCTCCAAAATTCACAACGATGATTCAATTCACAGACCGTGTATACTTTCAACAAAGTACCGGATATAATTTTTTCAGTGTTAGTTATCGGAGCATTAAGTACACTTTTTTAATCAATACATCTAGAGAGGTTTCGAATACAATAAATTTATTTTCAGATACATAATCGGTTAAAAATGTAAGCTCACCAATATCTGTAGTTTCTTCTTCAGGACTATAAATAGGATCATTGAATTCAGATACATTCAGAGTTGAATCCATTATGGTAATTGCTGAAATGTTGGAAAATGGAGTATCTATATTTTCAATTGGAATGGACTGTTGGGAACTTGTTGATAACAGTAGGTCTGTTTCCATTGGCATATCAGCTGGCATAATGCAACCCTGTTTTACAGCATCTGTTTGCTGTACAATTGCAGCGTTTGATGAATTGTCAATGTATTGTGCCGATTGTTGTGTAGGGCCAGTCCAAGTCCAGGCATCCCTTGTTTTACTCAAACCAATAGTATTCGTGGATACATCTCTTTTTTAAATTATATTTTGTGTTTGTGTAGACACGCTCCGCCTTCCATAGTATTTGGAAGTCGACACACCTTTCGCAATCATTGTTAACTTTGTGGTGTTGGTAGCTATGTTCGTAAATGATTTATCAAAAGGCAATTTGTAATTGAAACCCGATATATATTCATGATCGTAGATAGATGTCTCGCCTTCTGCTGAGCCCTCAGTTGGCATGGAAGCAACCTCGGACGGAGTACTGCGATCCTCTGACAGGGTACTGCGGTCAACCATTTCTATATCAGAAATGTTTTCTGTTATCCTTGAAGACATAGCGTGTATAATTTGCAACACTTTTGGTTTTTCAAAAACAGTGGGTTTTGCCATTACAACTAATCCTGTTCTCCTTTCAGACTTCACTATCATTTCTGCTGTAAAATGGTCTGAACAAATGTTGAAAATCTCGCCTTTTTGTTTATCAATGATTAATTGAATTGCGGCATCTATGTTCACAAATTCATCACCTGTGGCTAAAAGCCATTCTTTAATTCTGTCAGGTGAACTTGGGAAATTAAAGAGCAATCAGCTGAATGTTTAGAGTGACTGTTTCTGCAGCCTACAACTAAACATTTCTGCATTTTGTCTATGTTTTAAGAAAAACAAAAAGGGATGAAAAAAGAAAATAAGAATAAAATGTAGTGTGGTAGTTTGTGCCAATCACTTCTCTGTTAATTAATACCTAAATAATTTTAACATTGTTAATTTTGACAATTAAAAATATAATAATTTTTTAATTTTGGCAATTCCCAAATGGACAACGAACACATAAAAATACAGGCATTGAAGACTAGATATACGGCACGGAATTAAAGACCCACTATAGGCACCCAGACCACTTCAGCTTAATGAAGTGGTCTGGGTGCCAGGTCCATCTAGGATTAGCCCTGCCTGTTGTAAACATAGCAGTTTCAGAGACTCTGCTATGTTTACATTAGGGTTAATCCAGCCTATAGTAGATGTCTCATTGACAGCCGCTAGAGGCGCTTCCGCACTTCTCACTGTGATTTTCACAGTGAGAAGACGCCAGCATCCATAGGAAAGCATTGAAAATGCTTTCCTATGAGACTGGCTGAATGCGCGCGCGGCTCTTGCCGTGCATGCGCATTCAGCCGATGTCATCAGAAGAGGGAGGAGAGTCCCAGCGCAGAGGGAGCCCGGCCCTGGAAAAAAGGTAAGGGATTAACCCCTTCCTCCCCCTTCAGCCCGGCGGGAGTGGGACCCTAAGGGTGGGGGCACCCTCAGTGCACTATAGTGCCAGGAAAACAAGTTTGTTTTCCTGGCACTATAGTGGTCCTTTAAAAAGGACACAATTTATCTATTTCAATATTCAATTCCAATGGAGATACTCACAAAACCAGGACTGTATTAAAGTCATGAGGAAAGGTTTATGGAACACTGTTAATATACATATAAAGAACAGCCAGTAGAGGAGCTTATGAGATTTACATGGAGTAAATAACACTTGACGTTGGACGTCCTCACGTATTCCAATGTCAGATAAGTTCCCTATAGGAATGCATTGAGCAATGCTTTACTATGGGAGAGGTTTAATCAGTGAGCAGCACAGGACATGCAGGCACATTTGGCACACCGTGCAGGATGACATTGCGGTAAGCATGGAGCAGACCAGCGCTGAGGTAGCCCTACACTTAAAAAATGTTATGATAAAAAGGTTTATATAAAAAAATTTGTGACCCCGTGAGAGGGGTCCATAGTCACCTAAATGTAGATTAGGGCACTGTAGCGTTAGTAATACAAATTTGTATTCATCACACTATAGTGTTAAATAATATTGATTAGTGATCAACCGATATTGATTTTTTTTTAAAGCCAATACCGATAATCAGTGAACTTTCAGGCTGATAGCCAATAACTTACCGACATTCTGTACATTTACCATTTAGAAAAAAAAACCTATTTATAAAGGTTAATATACATGCCACATGTAGTGGATACAGTGTGTTTAGACAGGGGAGCTGTGTGTGTTTGTGTAGTGGATGCAGTGTGTAATTGAGTAGTGTGTATATAGTGAATGCAGAGTGTGTGTGTATAGTGTGTATAAATAGTGAATGCAGAGCGTGTGTGTGTTTCTGTAGGTATGTAATTTGTGGTGTATTTTTCATTTTAGATTTATTTTTTTTTTAGTCCCCTCTATCTGCTTCTTACTTGGCCAGGGAGGGGGGAATATAGCATTCCTTGGTGGTCCGGTGGCATGGACTGTGCAGTGAGGGCCCGCAGCAAGCTCTTACTTCCCTTCCTATCAGCTCCCTTCAGCTCCACTGTCTAAATCTCGCGGCCTGCGTGCCACGCGGAGAGTTGCCATGGTAACACGTGTCATGCTCTGACAGTCGTGGGAGACGCGAGATTCACACAGGGGAGCTGAAGGGAAGGTGAGTAAGAGCTTACTGGGCCCTCCAGGACCACCGGGATTATCATGTGCCCGGCGGTCCTGGTATGTATTAACGGCAATATTGGTATCTCTATATGCCGATACCGATATTGCTGAAAATACCTAATATCAGCAAGACCGATATTCGGTCAATCGCTAATATTGATTACATTTAAATAAATGTTAACGATCAAAAACATTGCCTACCTTGATGCAAGTCATACACGATGCTGATTCTGATAAAGGAAAACAATTCTCTGAAAATATAAACAAAACAATAATTAATATTATATTAAAAGGAAATTAAAATTAAATTTTAAGATTAATTGGATACATAAACAGGAGTTTGACTGTGAACCAGCAGGCGAAAAAGGCAGCCCCAAGAAAGGAAAAGATAAAATTCAGGGCAGCACTTTTCACGTGCCGAGCAACAGTGAAACTGTGGTAATATACAGAAATGTAGTTCAACGACACAGCCATTTTATGTGTGCCCACAAGCAAAGCACAGGAGAAGAGCCTGCCTTGCATGCGCTGAAGCACAAGATGACGGCCAGCTCTTTTCTTGCGCTCCAAGGATGGCATACAAAAATGGGACATAGAGATTGAAAACACAAGACAACAATAAAAAACAAAACAAAACACAGAGTTTGACTGTGAACCAGCAGGCGAAAAAGGCAGCCCCAAGAAAGGAAAAGATAAAATTCAGGGCAGCACTTTTCACGTGCCGAGCAACAGTGGTAATATACAGAAATGTAGTTCAGCACCAGAACCTATTTTTGCATAGATATCTCTTTCTCCTATATGTATAAGCATACAATAAGAGAAAGAGAGTCAGGCAAACTTTCCCCCCAAATATAGACAAAATAAAACTTACCTTAACCACTTTGAATTTGTCCAAAATTCTATTGCGCTTTGAATGATTCTGAAATCTGCTTTCTGAAATTGAAAAGAAGATAAATATTATTTTAAAATGTAATTTACGTTATAATGTTTTTATATATAACTAAACAATTATAAAAGGATATATATATGTATATATATATATATATATATGTTATATATGACTGTATGTATGTATGTAATGTAGTGGTTTTGGTCCTACATATGTAAAATAATAAATTACAACAATGTATGCTTACAACTACATATACTAATATAAATAATGAATACATTGAAAGTATCTATAGAAATATTTTAATAAATACATATTTAACAAAAATACATATGTACACACACATAAAAGCATATATATATATATATATATATATATATATATATATATAAAATGAAATAGCATAATGTTAAAAAAAATAACAGTTAAAATAGTAAATCAATTACATAGGTCATATATAAACAAATCTAGATTTTTTTCTCTAAAGAAATTCTCTCTCACACACTGGCCTCTGAGGAATCCAACTGAGATGTGAACGAGCTCCAGCGCGTTCACATCTGAGCATAGGCTATAATGCAGGCGAGCTCAAATCTGAGCTGCCTGCATTACAAGGGAATAACGTTAGATGTCCATGAGGACGTCTGACGTCAGCTCACTGTGATTCTAACAGTGAGGATTGCGGAAGCACCCTCTAGTGGCTGTCTCAGAGATACTGTGTTCAGTAATTATATCACAGGCAGAGGGGAGGATTTTGTGGAAATGAATGGGAGTGGTTTTTTTTTGCTGTATATTATGTGTTTGATTGGCTGTTCCACAAAACCATGTGGGTGGTACTATTGTGTAAAAATGTGTATATAAGAACAATAAAGCCACAGCTCTGTCTGTTCCTGTTTGACCCTCAACATAGAGCCTCGTCTCATGATTGGGGGATACGACTGCATCTACACTGGGGGATTGCTATACTCTACATGCTCCCCTAGCTATAATCGCTGAGCTCTTTTAAGAGCTTGTTCCAGCTTCACTCTTGGCAGGAAGAGAGGTTCGGTCTGCAGTGCTTATGGTGTCTGGAGAAGTTCTTAGAGCCCTCGGGAAGCACTAGGAGCATCTATCAACGGAGGTTCAACGGTCGGAGTACTAGGAGCTCCGTTACATTGGTGGCAAGCACTGGGATGGCGTTCTAGTGCGAGGTAAAGCAGCTCAGAGACACCATTTTTGTGGATTTACAAATTGAGGGCAACGCTTGTCTCAGTACAATGACCCTGACAGCAGCAGGATGGAACCAGTGTGGACTCAGACAGTGACCCTATACGATGAGGGTGACATGGACGATCGGGATGCAGTCCATAAAGACATCTGGTACAAGGCCCTTTGGGAGGTACAGCACCAGCGGGGTATGGGACTCCCCAGTGAGGAGCAGCGACAGCAGACACGACTGGCACTGCAGATGCCCCTCCTGGGAGAGCAGCCCCTGGAGGAGTGGGTAAAGGAACTGGAGCTCCAGGTAGGGCAGGAGCTGTGGCTGGAGGATGCCTACCAGGAGCTCTGGTGGTATGCAGCTCAGTATATACCCTGGACGGCAGAGCATGACAAACCAGAGGGAGAGGAGTTTGATAGCCCTGGCTTGTAATGGGAGGCTTTTTCGGAGCCTGACTTTGGGAGCCCTACACAGACCCGATTTCGGGATATTTTTTACTTCAGGGAGGGAATGCAAGAGTGGGATGACCCTCATGAGGTGGAGCAAGACCTGGCCCCCCTGGTGACCCAGGAGTGGGAACTGGAGCAGGACTACCGACATCTGCTCTGCTCCATTGAGAATACCCGGAGGAGAGCAGAGTGACAGATCCAGACCCAGAGCCCTTCAGCTGGAAAGATATTGTGGAAGGTTACTGGGAGAACACCCAGTCGGCAGGTGGAGATGGGACAGAGGTCTCTCCACCGGCCCTTCAAAGGGGTCAGCCCAGATCCCCAGCGGCAGTATGTTTTTGCCGGGAGTGGAGAGCATCGTCTTCCCTCCCCAACGGCAGAGTGAATTGCAGAGAGAGGAGAGGAGCGTCCTCCCTCCCTAGCGGCAGAGTGCATTGCAGGGAATGGAAAGCATTGTCTTCCCTTCCCAGCGGCAGAGTGAATTGCAGGGAGAGGAGAACAGTGTCCTCCCTCCCCAGCGGCAGAGTGAATTGCAGGGAGAGGAGAGCAGTGTCCTCCCTCCCCAGCGGCAGAGTGAATTGCAGGGAATGGAAAGCATCATCTTCCCTCTCCAGCGGCAGAGTGAATTGCAGGGAGAGGAGAGCATCGTCCTCCCTCCCCAGCGGCAGAGTGTACTGCAAGGAGCAGAGACAACTAGT